ATTTCTACAAAATGTGGAAAAGCAAATAAATCCATATTGTCTATTCTGTTTCCCTGGACCTGAATGTTTGGCTTGTCACCCCTGCACTGCTGTCCCAGGCCGCTGGCATGAAGCCTTGCTAGGCAGTGAGCGCCTTGCCAGGTGAGATGCACTTCCTGGCATAGGCTGTGCAGATTGCTTTGGCAGAGGTTCTGCCCAGAAAGGGCTAGAGAAACTAGCAATTTGTTATAATTCAGCAATAGGCTCTAAACACAGACTGGAGAATTAATGAATTAGCAAAGCCCGTTTGGACTAGAATATGATGCATAGAACTGTCAAATACTTCACACACACAGGCCCTTAGCCTGATCATTCTAGTCCATTTCAACAGCGACCATCTATAATAATAAAAGTGTAATATGCTAATTAGATCGGACTTCCTTCCGGACATCCTTTCTGACAACCATCCTGATGAAGCTGGATCTGCAAGGGAAGCCTGGGTCTCAGATGCCTGCTGGTGGCCAAAGGGAAGCCCGGGTCCCGGGTGCCTGACAGTGGCCAGAGGGTTCCTGACAGTGGCCTGACAGTGGCATCCGGGTCCTGGATGCCAGAGGGAAGCCGGTGCCAGCAGCGGGGGGGAAGGAAAGCCTACTCTTACATGAATTTTGTGCATTCAGCCTCTAGTTTTTGAAATAAAGTTTGAATGAATCATATCTTTGTATCATATATTTTCTTAAATCATCGATATCTGTGATCTAAATCTAATCTGAAGAATGTTATAGTATTTTTCTTATGCACAGAGTATCAATGCCAAAGGTAAGAGTCAACATAAGCTCTTGGAGTACAGAATGCACAGGGGACAATCATTAAATCAATTATGATTTTCATCACTTTTGCTTCCTGGTGAAACCTTTGGCTCCTATGTCCTGAGAAGTCTTTGTTACAGATTAAACTACTTTGCATTTTACATAGCCCCTATGCCTTTCTTTGAGGCATCTTATATTTAAGAAAAGAAAACTTCTACCTTCCTATAAGCAAACAATGACTTAAGCAGTTAGTGCCTTTTTGAATATTATTTTTTAAATGGTGTTTGAAGGTCCATTGTAGAAAATTAGTAAATATGTAAGCACACACACACACAAAAATTCAATCAGAATCCTGACTTTCATGCTACCACAGTTTTGTTAGAAACATACTTTTTTGTATACACTTATCTATATATATAAAAGCCTAAGCAACCAGTCAACTAGCTGGCTGGTAGCTATGACATGCAATGACCACCAGGGGACAGATGCTCAACATAGGAGCTGCCGAGCGACAGCAACTTTGCAGAGTGTTTTCTTGTGCACTCTGGAACCTCTCGGGGGATGTTAGACTGCCAGTTTTGGCCCGATCCCCTGCAGGCCAGGCCAAGAGACCCCACTTGCTGAAGGGACCCCACTCACTCTGCAGACACCTTCAAGCTTTGGCACCACCCACGTGGGAGGCTGGCTCCACGGTGTGCTGGGCCCATTTCTCTCAGTCCTGCCTTGCAGGCCACCTTCTAATTAATTTCCATTCAATGTGCACAAATCCGTGCACTGGGCCTCTAGTATTTTATATTTGCATATGTCACCTATTTTACAAAACTGGCCGGGTTTAACCTACATCATATCTGTACCTTTGCACACACCTACTTTTGTATTCCTTCTTCACTTCGTATTATATATTTTCTCTAATCACTACAAGCTTTTTTTTTTTTTTAAACTTGATTTGACAAGGAGAAGAGATACCAGGGGATGGATGATATCTGACCATTTCTGGAACTGTAAATCTAGATCTCTCTAGAAGCTTCTAGATGAGATAAATCACTTTTCAGCTTCCAAAGGTAACCTGCTGGTCTGGTTTTTGGCAAAGATGGGGCTGTCCCAGGGAGTCCTGGGAACATATCCATTTCTCAGGTTCCTGCAATCTATTGGTGAATGGGGCCTTGGCTCCATCTCTCACTCCAGACATCCAGATTTTAATTCCTTTAGACCCCTATCCTTTGTTGGAATGACAGTCTGCTTTCCCAAGTGCAAACCCCTGGAGGAAATCCTCAGGGTGAAGCACTTGTTTCCTGCAGAGACCCTAGGCTGGCTCAAATGCCAATCCTTTCCAGCAGGTGGCGCCATCTTGACTCTGTTCCCTCCCTACCAGGAGGCCCCCTGGATTAGATGGCGCCCTCCTGTCCTTCACCTTCACGTCCTCATGTGCCCTGCCTGCACTCTCCTCCCAGGTCTAGGCCTTTCAGCTTCTTGTCCCTTTCACTGGTCTTTAAAGGCAAAAAAGTTTTTATTTTCGACTGTCTTTAAATAAATTAATTGGACCATACATATTCAAATGTCTTTTTAAAAAAGGCATAATTTTTGTCTTTTTACATCCTCTTTAAGCTTGATACCTAAGTTTGGGACACTTCAAAGTATTTCTATATTTCAGAGAACCCTGTTAAAAAGCTTAAAAAAAAAACACTATCACTTGGTTAAAACGGTAACTTCAAAACTTCCTTATTAACAATAGTATTCCAATGTATTTAACTTACAGTAGTTTCCACAAAACTCATTAAAAAAAAAAACCTTCTTTCGCCTGACTAGTCAGGCTCAGTGGTTGAACGTCAACCTATGAGCCAGGAGGTCATAGTATGATTCCCAGTCAGGGCGCATGCCCACTGGGCAGCTGATCAAATGATTCTTTCCCATAACTGATGCTTCTATCTCTCTCTCACTCTCATTTCCTCTCTGAAATCAATAACAATATTTTTAAAAAAGAATTTTTTTCTTAAAGAATACTTAAATAAAAAGTGAGACAAATGAACCATATAAATTTGCATTTAGACTGACAAAAATCATAAAATTATATTAATCATGCCACTTAACTCAAGAAAGAGCTTATAGATGTGATAAAATGGTGCAAAGAACAAACCTATAGAATTGCTCACCCCAACGTTTCAGGATGCAGCTATAGCTTGAGAGTAGGGCTCTATTTCGGGGTAATGTCCAGGAACGCTCTCTGATTCCTCTGGACCCAGTCAACCCCTAATCTCACCTGTCACTTGAAAGACTTCAAGCCGGGTGAGAGCACCTTAGCAACAGTGGAGAAAGGTTCAAGGCAAAGTTTTACTAAATGAGATACCAGTGACAGGTGCCAGGGACATCAGAAGGAAGCACTTTAGAATCCAAGCAACAGACTGGAGAGAAAGCCTTGTTGTAATCAGAATGACTTCAGTCTCAGTTGGAAGTGTTTTTAGTCAAGGCAAAAATGGCATTAAGGTGACTTCCCAAATATGCCTTCAGAAGTTGCCTGGGGCCTGTCCAAAGGTTCTGAACCCTAAGGTGATGCCAGAGCCCCAGCGGTTGTGATCTCTGGGCAGATTGGAAAGAACCCTATTCCTGCCTGCCTGCTGCTCTTCCTTTCAATCATTATGGTGCCTGCTCCCTTTCCAGAATAAAACAGAGCAGCGCCTGGGCCCCATGGGATCACAGTGCTGAGAACCATTATACCTTTGAGATTGAAAATGTTCAGAACCCACAATGGCCTGGCTCTCTTAAGTACCAGGTAGGAAAACTGAGGTCTCTGACATCACGTAGTATGTTCAACAAATACCTGCTGGCTGGCCATTCTATTTCCTTGGCGGAATGGCTGGAAGGGGTTTGAATTAAGAGCCAGGGCTCAATCCTCTTAAAAGGTTCCTATGATGCAGGGAGAGGACTCAGAGCACTGAGCCACAACAGGAGAAAATGCAGGGCTGGGGATTTAGTGCTCAGAGCAGAAGGTCATCATTAGAGAAGCAGCACACATGCCTCTCCTAAACTACAGGTGTGTTTACAGTGGAACATACAGATCTGCTTGTAGAAGTATCTGGAGCAGCCCTCGGGGCCCATGCACAGCTAGAGTCCTGGGATCTACAAAAATGCTAATGCTGACGCATTCAACTCAAACTTAGGAATTCTATTTAAGAATGCATTCCCACCTATCCTTACTCTTAATAAAATAGTTCTTTTAATCCTTGCTCAAGGTGAAATGGTTTCTAAAATACTTTTAAAAATGGTGTGGCGTGATCTAAATATACTTGACATGTTTCTTTTGAACTATTAACCTGTCTGTTCCGTTTTCTCTGACATCTGAGCCCGGAAACAGTCAGTCCTTGGGTACAAACCTTAGCAGCTGGGAGATGACCACAGAGTCAGGGGAAAGTTGGACAAGTGACCACGGTGTCCAGGGGAAGCTGGACACATGACCACAGTGCCAAGAGGAGAGGGGAAGCCTGGTGGCAGGGTGGCTGGTCGGCAGCAGGATGGGCATTTCTTCACATACTCCCTGGGGGGCTGGTAGGTGAGGGGTTCAGCCTCTTAGAGACTCCTGGGGAGGGGAACAGAGCCTCTTTTGATTCCTCCGTGATTGCTGGCCTTGACCTCACTTCAGGGCAACCTACTCACAGGGAAAGGCTGCTCCATTTTGCAGCTAGGCAGATTTCTGAATTCATGGAATTGACCCCCGAAGCCAAGCTTCTGATGTCATTCTGCTGGAAAGACTGAGTCTCATGCTGCCATTCCATTTCCACAGTAAGATCACATGCCCTGTTTCAAAGCGCCATATGAAATGCCTGCTGGATTTTCATGCATCTCTCTCCCTCAGCTTCTTTTCTTTAGACCACACCTATTCTGTGCACCAGAACCACCTGAGAAGCATCTCACCTGGATCCCCCAGGGACCTCTATAAACGTGGGAATCCACACATGGAAGAAGCAGTGCCTGAGTCTGTCTCTATGAGCTGGCACCCTCCAGTCTGCCTGTTCTCCTTTTGAAATTCCCTATCTTGGCAGGACATGGGGGAGCCACTTAATGTGCCACTGTCTCAGCTGTGAAATTCCCACCAGAAAATTGTGCTGATCCATTAGTGATGTTACCGCATGTTGAAAGCCCTGTACCTCTACACGCAGACGAAATATGAATGTGGCAACTGGGGAAGGTGATAAGTGCATGCAGCTGCGAGTTGCACATCACCTGGTCCTGGGACTTCTTTTTCTTCTTCTTCTTTCCCCAGCAACCGGAGCTCTCTGCGTCTTTGCCACTGGCCTCCCCACAGAGCAGCCCGTCCAGCTCATCCGTGCCCATGTGCTGTCCCTGAGACGTTTCCGCGGCCAGCCGGTACGAGAGGTTCCTTAAAATGCACACACAGTTTTCAACGGTCTGCAGAAGCCAGGAAAAAGGTAAAAGAGGAATGAATAAAAACTAGCTAGCACTCTGTCCAAAAAAGCAATCAGTCTTCACACACACATTTCTCTTCAGATGCATTTAGCTGTGGGCTCTTAAAGGTTCCCTTAATAGCCACACTGGAAAGAATTTGAGAAGCTTAGAGAGGTCTTAAGACTTCTTCTCCCCACAAAGAAACTAGTTATCAAGAATAGTTACTTCTATAGCTAGCTGTCATGGATGATGGAAAATCGCTTGTGAGTGGAAAAGAACCTACAATCACAAAGGACCCAGATGTTGTCTACTCAATAGGCATCTGAGGACTGAGGCTCAGAATCACCAAATGCATGGATGATTGGATTTCCATCAGCTCTGGGAGGGTGACACTAATGTTTACCAGGGCACTTTCTGGGAGTAGAATGGGCCAGGAGATGCAAACCAGAGCTGTCCTAGGCACACCAGGTGCTGTGGTCACCTGGGGGCATACATGTTATCAAGCTACTGATATTTTCTGAGCTGGTCGGTGCTCCTATTTTCTTAGCAAAGGGGTGAAACAGTGGCTAAGGACACATGTTACTGAGCTAGACCCTAGGTCTCTGAACATTGGCTGTTTGATGTGGACCAGGCATCCAGCATCTCCATGGCTCCATAACCTCCTCTAAGATGGTCATATGCTTTAGTTTGCTGGCTGGATTAGGTGAACTAGAGGATGTAAGTTAGGCAGGCAGAATAATATCCCACCAAGGTGTCCACATCTGAATCTCTGGAGCCTGTGAATAAGTTAGACTATGTGGTATGGGGACAGAGGTTGCAAATGGGATTGAGGTTGCCACTCAAGATGACCTGGAGATGGGAAGATGATCCTGGGTTATCCAGGTGGGCCTGTGTAATCATGAGTCTCCTGTAGGTGAAAGAGGGAGGCAGAGGAGTTAGAGTAAGAAGGACATGACCTGCCAATGCTGGCTGTAGAGAAGGAAGAAGAGGTCACAAGCCAAGGGATGCCTGCAGCCTCCGAAGCTATAAAAGGCCAGAAATCAGCTTCTTCCTGTAGCCCCCAGAAGGAACATAGTCCTGTCCACACATTATTTTAGCCCAACAAGACCCATTTGGACTCCTGGCCTAAATGATAAGACAATAAATTTGTGTTTTTAAGTTATTGTGTATGTGACCATTTGTTACAGCAGCAGCAACAGGAAACACTCGTTGTGTACATACTGAGAAGAGTGCCTGGCACACAGCAGAGACTACACAAGGCTTCATATCAAAAACAGTGGCAGAGACAGCACCTTGGGGAGGCCCAGGGCATATGAACCACAGCTGGTCCATCTGCATCTGAGTCCTGGCTTTGCCCTTTAAGGGATTGTGACCTTGCTGTGTGCAGAGGGCTAAATCTTTCTGACCCTATTTCCTCCCAAAGGCCCTACCACCAAATACCATCGCATCGGAGATGAGGTTTCAATATATGAATTTGGTGAGGATACATTCAGCCCAAACATCAGCCTTTTGGCCTTCATTCTGGATTTGAGGAACTGTGGGCCAAGCAGGGAAAAAAAAAAAAAACCTAATGTAAAAGAAAAGAACAGAATAATGATGGAAAAAATAGAATTGAGATAAGTATTATTTCATCATTTTTTCGGGCACCTACTGTGGAATAGCCACAGTTCAGGCTAAGAACCTAGTTCCATTATACAGGTGAAGGGAACAAGATCTGAAGTGTTGCTAACTCACAGAGGACTGTGCCACTTCTCTCTAGTTCTGGGTCAGGCTGGAGGGGGGCCCATCAGGGTCCAAATTCTGCACTACTCCTGCCTATGCCTGACATCTGGTAAAAGGCAGGCTATGTCTTTGTCTTGTCTGAGGGGGCATGGAAATCAACCAGAGAAACTGATCTTTAGGATCCATCTTTAGAGCCTTTGCCATTCTAGACCTTTCTTGTCAGCTTTTCAAGGTTTCATGGCTGCTAATCCCACAGGCTTTGAGTCAACCTGATTTTCCATTTCAAGCATCCTCTCGGCATAAAAAAAAAGGCACCAGCATGAAAGCAGGTAAACACAGGATGATGCATGAAAGAGAGGAGAGTCCCTCCCTGGAAGGAAAATGTTGCTGCATTAAGTCAGAATGATTTTCAAATGAGCTCATACTGAGTTTTTCTTACATCAAAGACTTGGGGAGAATAAACTTCTTTCTCATCCTCCTGTTCATCTTCCCCGGGGCATCTCCAGGCCTCTGTTTAACAAATGACAACTGGGGAATACATTTGCAGCAGTTTTTTGGGAAGTGCTTTATAATCGACCTGTGGCTGGGGGGTGATTTGGGGAGAGGTGAACAGGAGAGAGAACCTGGGGAGGGGGAGTGCGGGAGGGGAGAGAGGAGGTGGTGTAGAGAGAAGACTGGAGTGAGGGAAATCACAGGGACTGATTCTCTTTCTGTCTCTCTCCCTCCCTCCCACTCCCATTAGGTTTGGTTTGGGAGGGTCACTGATTCAAGCACTTTTCTCTAAAGGGACAGCGAAAAGAAAACCGACAGCCAATGCCTTTCTCGGGGATGCCAGCAGAAGGCGAGTGGCAGCTGGTGGTTTTGCTTTTGACATCCATTGCTGTCAACAGTGCTTTTAGCAGTTCCTCATGGTCACCAGGGTCATTTGACTCCTTATTTTCTATTAGAAAGGGCTAATTTGGAAGTTGTCCAGAGACTGCTCTACCATATGTTACCCATTCAACAAACTGTCCCAATTACAGGAGCCAGGCTGAGCACGAGCATGGAATCCAGGCTCTTGTATTCATTAATGTGGCTGGCCATAAAAAGAATGTGTCCTCATTCCCCACCCCACCCCCTTCTAACTTGTCATTGTGAAAGCTTAGAAGTGGCCAAGTGGAGGGCTGAGTGGGGAATTATGGGACAATAATAATAATACATCAAAACTCAATAGAACATTTGGCCAGCAAAGCACTGCCAAGCAATTTATCACATGTGATCTTTTTAGCAGCCATGATGATCCTCCTTGTCACAAAGTTGAGGACACTGGGGATGGCCCCCTAGTCAGTGCAAGATTGGGATGGTACATCCCCAGCATGCCCTGGTGTCAAGTCCAGTGCTCTTGCTACTAGATCAGGAACATCTGATTATCCAAATCTCAGGTAGTTTGATTATCCCAATTACTCCAATTTCTTCTTTGGGAGGAAATATGGAATTTGAAAATCTCAACAGTCTTTCAGTAATTTCAGGAGTCTAGTCATCTGGTACTCCAGGAAACAGGTGAATGTGCCGCAGCATCTGGTTTTGGACATGCTCCTGAAGGCTGCTATCCCCACAGCAATGGTGGCATGGCCCTTGGCCAAGGCAAGAGGCTGCCGATTTTCTATTTTCAATTGCAGGGCTCACATACTATTACAACTCTTCTGGTATCCATTATAGCAAAAGGCTTAGTGTCTCAATGTTTTAGAATTTACTGATCTGAATATTAAGATCCCGGGCATTGTGGCTTCAGTGAATTAACTTCAGTAGCTTAAAAAAAAATGACATGTCCATTAGGTTAACAGGTGGCTGTGAATACTCAAGACATATGACGGGGCACTTCTTTAGGGACTCAGTATTCATGTCAATGATATTAAAATGGCCGCTAAGGGTATTTACAAGGAGGGATAATTACATTTTTATTATGTTGTATTCTGTCTTGGGAATTGCTACCATCTACAGTAAACAAAAGGATGCAAACATAACTGAGTGGCAGTAATGAGATGACAAGCCGTGTTCATAATTGGAGTCAACTAGTACTCAAAGGGTTGGAGCCCCGGAAGATATTGTCCACACAAAATGTAGAGAGCAGGGCTCGGGCAGCAGTGATTTCCTAAGTGTCGCAGTCACTCTCATGTGTAGTTACGGTGAGAAACACTATGTTAAGCCACCAGCCCCCCTCCATGCCAGTTAGTAATTAAATGGACAAAATCACCATTATTTGTCCTTTATCTGACTTCACAACTGAATTACACTAAACCATATTCCCACTGAGAGCCTGTTTAAAGCTGTATCTACTAAGATGGGCTCTCAATCTAAGATGCGCATCGAACCACTGGTGAATTTTTAAAGGTGCAAAGATCAGAGGACAGAGTTAGACATTGAGATTTAGAGGTTTGTGATGGGCTCTAGACTCGTGTTTATTAAACATTCCAAAGGCAATTCTGATGAGTCAGTATGGAAAACCCTGGGATTAGTGGTTTACAACCAAGGCCAATTCTGCCTCTCATGGAACCCAATTTGGCAATACCTGAAGACATGTGGAACACAAGTGGGGAGCGGGGAGGATGCTACAGGCATCTACAAGTAAAGGTCAGGGATGCTGTTTAATGTCCTACAGTGCACAGGACCGTCTTCCCCACCACAAGGAAGTAATCAGCCCAAAATGTCAATAGTGTGTCTCTTGAGAAACTCTAATTAAGGATCACATTTATACACCTATCACTTAAAATGTGCCAGTAAAGTCTGTATTTATATCGGGATCCTTTGAGATTATAAATTTATATTTGCAGTGAATAAAAAGACAAATTAAGACAAACAAAAATAGCTCAGACACTGGAATAGCCCACCCAGTTCTATTTTGATTTGTGAACTAAGACTCCACAGACACTGATGATTAATTAACAGGATGACAGCCTCATTTATGTAGCACTTTGACAGCATTTATTCACACTTCATCAACATTTTTAAATGCCCTTTGGTATAATTAACGATTGTTAAAAAGCTAACTTGTAGGAATATAGGATTATTCATATCTCAGGTAGTTTTAACATTTCTTTTTCTTTTGAAAGTTGATTTCATAATATGAAACTAGAAGTTTGAGAGTAATGTGGCATGCAAAAGTTTATACACTCTGTGTGTGTGTTTGTGTGTGTGTGTGTATGTGTATGTTGTCTAAGGTGCTTAATCTATGCGAGTACAACAAACCTTGCTATCGATCTCACTGCTCCCCAGCGCAGACTGGATGACGTAGAGCAGGGCATCTGTGAGGCCCTCACATTCCCGCATCCTCCTGCGGGCCTCCTCGCCGGCTGAACTAACATTCCTGCAAAGCAAAAGGACCAGTTAGCAACCTTCACAACGATCACCAAATGCTCTCCCACACATACCTTCTCTCCTTGTTTCAAAGAAAAACACTTTGCTTGCCTTTTCAGATGTTTATTAAAAATGAAGTTTTATTGAGTAGGGATGGCTTCAACCACCTCTACTAACTCATCAAATCCATCCTAAAACTGGGGAAGTCGCAGATAGCTGTAATGCAACTAGAGAAATGGAGAACATAGAATTCAAACATGTGAGTGTCCAATGACCGCTCAGAATGGGAGACTTTTTGAAAGTCTTCAAAGTTTTCTTCCTTTACCATTGATGAAGGAATCACAGCTCTTTGATTCAAAAGACTCTTCTTTAAGAAGTGTGAAACATTTTTCAAAGACAGAGCTTCCAACTTACTAAAATACTTTAGAGATCTAATTTTACCTGCCTCAAAAATATACCTACTTTGGTCCAGCCAGAATAAATTAGAAATTTATTCTAAGAACTTAGGGAGGGGTTTCTGTGAAAATTTAGCCACAGGAGTGCCCATGGCCCCTTCAAAGGCAGGAATTAACCAAGCTCCTTTCTGGACTGGCATAAGCTGTGCTAGAGCCAACAGAAGGAGCCTGTTGTAATTCACTGCACAGCTGAGAAGCAGAGAGATATAAAAACCATGAGACAATCCTAGTCACCAGACTCGTAAAAAGCAGGAGATAACTCTAGTCAAAGATGCACATTTGGGATGCTTTTCATACTCCACCACCTGAAAGTATGTTCTTGGTCTCCTAACCATGGATAGGATTGGGTTCCAGTTAAGAATTTTTGCAGTGACTGACTTACCAACAACACAGCCTGTGGGAGGGAAACTGGAGAAGGTGGGTTTATAGAAAGAGGCACAAAGGGACTGAAACATTTTAGAAGCTATGGGGAAAATAGAGAATGATCTAGGCTGAGCAATGGCTCTCAAAAGTTGGCTGCATCAGAAGCTCCTGGAGGGTGTTCATGTAGATTGCTGGACCCCATCCTGAGGTCTCTGGTGGAGTCGATCTGAAGATACTTTCTCCATTTTTTGAAACAAAACAAAAACTGAGAAAGTATATTCAGTTGCATATTTGGAGGTATTGGTATTGATAATTTCTACTGCTCTAGCTTTAGTCTAGGGAGAGAGTTGTTGGAGAGGATATTGCTTTCTGTTGACAGCCCTAGGCAGCCACCTGGCAGATCCCAAGAATATGTGGCCTGGGACAAAGCCCACAGAAGTTGAATAGGGTACATCTCCACACCCACATTGTAATTGACACATACATTCTCATTTCATTTTCACCGCGACACTTCATTCTATTTTACAGATGAGAAAACTGAGGCTCAGAGAAGTTATCAAAAGCTAAATGGGCAGCAAGTGGAGAAGCTGAAAGAAACCTAGGGCTTGATGCACAATATAGACGGACTATGCTTTAAAATAAAATAAAAAAAGGCCTAATGCTAAAATGCTACTGAACATAAGTGTTTTCTTTGCTATCTAAAACATTCTGTGGAACATGTATTAAATAGGACCTATCAGCATTTTAATGTAATACTGGGAAAGGTTATTCAATTCAAATGAGTATTTTTGGCATTTGCTGATCTTAAAATATAAACACAATTCCTTAGGCAATACAACTGGGCAGATATTGACAGTTTTTATGTAAAGTGTTATAGATTCTGCTTTGGGGTGGCGAGCTGTCTTTTCTGATAAGATCCCTTGGAAAGGAAAGAACTTCCTCCTAGGGAAAAAGTGGTGAGAGGCATGGTGGAATTATTCTAACCAGAAGGATGAGCTTTGTGAAGAGATCACTTCTAGACCATTCTCCATGAAGAGGTCTTCATCAGGTCAAGCTTTGAGGCCTTTACAGCAATAGGTTCGTTCAAAAATTCCAATCGGACCTCTTTGGCCAGAAGAATGTTGTGGCAATGTGTGGTTGTGTTTGAAATCTTGCCTCTTTGTTCCTTGAGGAGGTCATGTCTTCAGAGAGAGAATGATGGAATTTAGTCTTGAGAGAACCTTAGGACAGCTCATGTACACCCTGGTCTGAAATCCTCTGTACTCTTCCTGCATCCATGAACACCGCTTTCCTTTGAAGAAGTTCACCATGGGGACAGTGAATGCCTCCTGATTCCTAAATAAATTTTATAATAACCAGCCTATCTTTTACTGGTAATTAATGAACGGGCAGGGCCAACCAATGAAAAAATGGGAAAGATGAGGAATTAACAACTTTGTCAACATTACCAGTTGCCAATATTAATCTAAGCTTTTTTCTTTATTCTAGTTTCTGTTTGATTCCAGTCTAGTCTTCTCCAAAATTAAAAAAGAAAAAAAGTTACTAACTGGCTACTATATTAAAGCATTAAAGATATTGGAAAATGAGAAAGACTTATAAGTTAGGGTCCCTACAGGGTAAATGACTGGGATAGACGGACGGACACACACACACACACACACACACACACACACACACACTCTCTGATACAGTGGGTAGGATGGAGTTACCACAGTGTCTGCAGGCAGGATGAGGATCAATATCAATTTTTAAACAGAGTGAAGTATGCATATGTCTCTTTTTTAATGGGTTGTAGTGTCCTACAAGCCTTTGGGAATGGGTTTCTACTTTCACCTAGTCCTGAATGAGTGGAACATATGGTGAGTACCTTTCGTTTTTCATTCTGGAGTAGAGGAGGGCTTTCTTTTTCTCCCCTTTCTCCCAAACACAAGATCTAACACACTATGCATGCTTTACTGTTTGAAATTTTTATAAAGCCAATAAAATTGTGTGCTGGTCACTGTGCAGTTATTGTAATTTTGTTCCTACCTGTTTGAAAATGAGCCAATGTCTAACTTAAAAAGTTCCATTCTCCCCTTGTACTTAAACCACCTTACAACTGTCTTGAGGAGTTACAACTGTCTTGTTCCATGTCTAGCTAGAAACTGGTATAGCAAAATTCTGTGCATTAATATAACATTAAAACAAATACTGGTAGGTTATTTATAAAGACTGCAATGAACTTGTAATTTCTATTCATTAGAAATAATCTTTATAATTTGTATTAAATGTCAATAGATACATCATTTGGAAATTTCTGCTTAAAGTAGATAGTAGATTCTATATACTTTTTTCTTTTAAAGGAAAGAGGTGTTACTTTTTTAAAAAGTTCATTTTTATTAAATTTAGAGAGGAATCGAGAGGGAGAGATGGAAACATCAATGATGAGAGAGTCATTAATTGGCTGCTTCCTGCATGCCCCATACCGGGGATCAAGCCTGCAGCCCGGGCATGTGGACCTAACCAGGAATCGAACCCTGCCTTCATAGGTCAATGCTCTACCAGTGAGCCATGTCAGCTGGGAAATTCTATATATTTTTTATCTAACCGATAAAAAATAAAACATAATTTTTATATTTTACCATCAGCAAGGAAACAGAGACCTCAGTCCTACCTGAAGGAACTTTGAACTAGATTCTCCCACTAACCATTAGTAAGGAACACTGAAACCTCCTGCTGAAACCTCCATTTTAAGCTGGTGAGACTGGTGTCTGATTTGGAACTGACAGAAATTATAGCACAGTATATTTGTCATGTTCTAAGTCACTAAGTCTGTGGTAATTTGTCCCAGTAGCAATAGGAAACAACTACAAAGCTTGTTTTACTCAAGGGTAAGTGGATATTTTTCAACACCATCCCTAAATGTTTCATAAGTCACTGCTTTCCTGGAAACTGTTCGGCTACAGTGGGCTCATGCAAGACTTTAGAAGATATTTCTAGATGGTCAAGTAATTGTATTAGCTTGCTCAAGACCAAGCTGGCACATATATAAGAAAATTGAATCTTTCCTAGAGGCATGCGTGTAGAGGAAGAGGGTGGCTTATGAAGCATCTTCCCTCAACTACGCAGAGAACACTAATGTGATGTGGTGATGCCTGTGCTGTATCTTTTCCCACTGCGAATCTGATGAAGCCATGTTAGTGACTCCACACGTGTGGCCATCACCTTGGTCTGATGACTGCTCTCCTGTCTGGCTGACATCTTGTACTCCTGCCAGTCCTCTTTCATGCAGAAGAGACCCCCCAAAGCTCAGTGTTCACAGCTTCCAGTGAACAGAAAGTGCAGGGTTGGTATTATATGCCTTAATGTGGGAAGGGAGGACGCTGGATACAGGGAGAGGACAGGCAATTTCCTAGCTCTGCTGGAATGAAGTCTGTATTATGTTCTCATTACTTGAAGTGACTTTCTGGAACATCATCTGAAACACTCCCCCCATAAGGATCCAGTCCTGTGACCAGTAGCAAGATTAGCCACACCTCTGGAAACATTTATTGGATACAAATAAGGAAAGGCTGAATTTACTTGAAAAGCTCTAGACATCTTTCTTGACATTTGTGTTTTGTTAATTTTTAAAATTTTTCAAAAAGAATAGTTTATTTACCTTTACAGAGAGAGGAAAGAAGAAACATCAATGTTAGAGTGTACATACAGCCTTGAGGGGCATGGGATAGCACCCCACCAACTAAGCCACACCAGCCAGAGCTCGACAAATTATTTTTAAAAAAATATAAAACTGGTCCTTCCTTACAGCCAATTCAGAAAAATTTCCAGAGGGAAAAATTTCCCCTTCTTTTCTTTTCAAGATTACACAGTCTTCCGTTTGACTTCTTGCTGTGCACTTTCCTGTCTTTTCCCAAGGAAGGTAATTTCTTTATAAAGCAGGACAGTGATGGCTTGGTAATTACTTTGCTGAGCTGCAGGGACAGAACGCTTCAGTGGCCTACAGACCAGCTACCTCGTGCAGCTGGCAGAACACTGCTGCGTGCTGTCCTCCAATCTGTAGATGGTAGCTCCTACGTCATCGCCACCCTGCCCACACTGGGAAATGTAAAGATGGATGAGCTCCTTGCCGCTGACTAGGAATCCCTGGCCCCATGAAGCTCTGCACAGACCGTGCCTTCTGGAGTCAGCTCTGCATCAGGGCACATTGTTC